ATGGATATGCTTTGAGGATTTAAAGAAATGCTTCCTGACTTTATAGAGTTTGCATTTGGGCTTGAGAGACAGATAACTTAATAAACAAGATAGAAACTCTTGCTTTAGTATAATGCAAATACAGGGAGTTTGGCTGACACTACCAAAATACCTCTCTTGCATTCATAGCACTACCCTTGATCACCTCATCATCACAAGAATGGCATTTGCCTCTTGTCTCTTTGTCCTTGCCTTTGCATCTGTCTTGAGTGTAAGTCTCCTTCCCACTGTTGAAACCATTTGGCAGCTTCTTGCCCAAGGAATTCTAAGATACTATCATTTCATAGGCTTGTGAACATACCTTTCAACTGGAGGGTATTTTGAAAATGCATTTTTATAACTGTCAAGAAATCATACAATTCACAAAATTTCAAAGCCTGAAACAAGATCTTTAACTTTCCATTCATGGAGAAACGTTATCCATATCTCTGAGAGACTTACTCATATTTGCTTCTGACTCAATAGCCCTGTTATGATTTATATTGAGAATATCCTCCAAAGGCTTCATGCACTCATAGGAAGGGCTTTAGGAAGAGGTTTATATCATGGGGCACTATAGCTGACTTGCCCTTAGGGGGTGGGGGCTGGTTAAGGGAGGCAGGTTAATGTAGACATGACCTAGAAAGATATAGCTCTCTCACTGACTCCTCTCTTCATTTTCTGCTTTTTGGTCATTACAAAGTGAGCAACTTACCTCTGCTGTGATCCTCTGACATGCTGTTCCTGCCCTGTCTGAATCTAGCCCACCATGTACTGTAACCATAAGCCAGAATAAACATCATCTTCTTTAAGTTACAAGTATCTAATATTGTGTCTGAGTGATGAGGGAAATGACTGAGACACATTTTGGTACCAAAAGTGGAGCTGTTGCTGTGAATACCTAAACATGTGGTTTAGAAGCCTTTGAAATCATTCACAGGAGGTATTTGGAAAGATTTAGAGATGTCTGTTAGAGAAGCCCTAGAATGCTATAGCTGAGCTTGTTAGGAGATTCTGGTCAGACCTTAAATAAACGGATTTCCCTAGATTCAATTCATCATGCTCAGCCACCCAATCACTCAAAGGCCCCTTACTATCACCACCAAGATGCAAAAAGGCTGGGTTACTGCTTGGGCTGGCAACAGACCTTGGCATCATCCACATAATGCTGGTTTTACAGACATATAGAATGCAAGAGTTTGTAGGGTTAGGATGGCTTCCGCTTAGATTTCAGAAGAAGGTCTGGAAGGCCAGGCAGTGTGCCCCTGAGAGGGCAGTGTATGAACCTGTGAGTGTGAAGCTGAAAGTGCAATGGAGACCTCAGAAAGCTGGAGAAGCCAGGAACATGAAACATCTAAGAACAGCCACAAAGAGTGAGCAAAGCCAGCCCAAGAGAGAAGCCATGAGAGTACAACCACCAGCAGTGTCATGGGGTGGTGGGAGGGGCATCACTCAAGCCTTTTGGAGTATACATCTCACCACAACTTGCCCAGTGTGCTGGACATGGAACTACAAGATTTAATGTTCGCCCTGCTGGGTTTCAGTCTTGCTTTGGTTCTATTCCTTTCTATTGTCTACTTCTCCCTTTTGGAATGGGAATGTTTATCCTGTGCCATTGTAGGTTGGACTTAAATTTCTTTTTATTGTTACAGAGGCTCACAGCTAAGAGTTTGCCTTAAGGCTCAGAGGAGACTTTGGACAAACTTCAGCAATGCTGAAACTGTTGGAACTTTGGAAACTCTTAAAAATGGACCAAATGCATTTTGTATAAAGAGATGCACATGAGTCTTTTGGTGGCTTGGGTGGAATGTTTGTATCTTGATGTTCACCCAAAGCCTCATGTCCTCATAGGTAGGGCTTTGGTGGTAACTGAATCATGGATCTGTAATATTCATCCGTGGATTATTATAGATAAATGTGATTTTGGAAGATAAAACCTGGTGGGAGGAAGTGTGTCACTGGGGACATGGCCGGAAGGGTATCTCTCCCTCCCCTCTTGATTGTGCTCTGCTTCCCACTGGACCCATACCCATCTGCCATACCATCCTGCCTTGGAGCCGGCCAACTATGGACTGAGACCTCTGCAAACTGTGAATGAGAATAAATCTCTCCTCCTTTAATTTATGGATGTCAGGTATTTTGTCCCAGCAATAAGAAAGCTACTAAGACATTTCATGATCATGTGGTTTAGAAGCCTTTGGTGTCTGTTCACAGGAGGAATTTGGAAAAATTTGATGATGCCAACTAGAGAATCCCTAGAATGCTGTAAGCTTAGCTTCATAGGAGATCTTGGTCAGAACTTAGAAGAGCAGAATACTGATAGTAGCACAGACAGTAAAGACCAGGCTCAGGAGGTTTCAGTTGGAAACAAGGACTCCATTGACAGTTGGACTCCAGGCCATGTGTGTTATGTTCTAGCAGAAAATTTGTGTACATTTTCCTCACATCCTAAAACTTTGCAGGAAACTAGGATTAAGGGCTATAGACTAGGGAGACTTTGAACTTGGACTTTTCAGCAATGCTGAAACTGTTAGGACTTTAGCAACTCTTGGAGATGGACTAAATGCATTTTGCATAGAGGTATACGCCTGAATTTAGGGCAGGTAGGGGTGGAATGTTCTGATTTATACAGTAACACCTTGGTTCATGAACGGTTCTTTTCACAAACAATTCAGTTCCCTAACAGAAGCACTCAGTAGCATTTTGTTTCTGTTTGCAAACTCCACATCTTCCCCGGAATTGTGGAACAAATTATGTTCATGAACTAAGGTACCACTGTATTGAGAATGTCCCCCAAAGGCCTCATGCACTCATAAAGCAGAGGTTTGGGAAGAGAATTAGACCATGAGTATGCTGTAGCTGACTTGCCATTATGAGGTGGGGCCTGGTTGGGAGGTGGCTGGGGGCATGACCTAGAAGGGTATCTCTCCCTCCCTGGCTCCTCCCTTCACTCTGCTTCCTGACTGCCAAGATGTGAGGAGTTTTCCCCTGCTATGCCCCTCTGCCATGCTATTCTTGCCCTGGAACCAGTTGATCATGAACTGTAACTGTGAGCCAAAATAAACCTGTCATGTATGTTGAAGATGTTGGATATTGTGTCTCAGCAATGAGGAAAGTACCAAGACAAGCCTCAAAGATGAGAAATTCAGGTCTCTGTTATGGTTTATATCTAGATGTCTCCCAAAAGCCTCATGTGCTTATAGGTAGTACTTTTGGAAGGTGATTGTGATAGAGTAATAGTATACAATAAGACAGACCCTTGCCTTGCCTCCATGTTTTTTTTCCATAGAATGTTTTGTTCCAGAAATGTACAGTTGGTGCTGCTGGGCAGCTGTCCTGCCCAATATATCAAAATGTTTTGTAACTGTTTGAACTTCATGACCTCTCAGGAATAGTTCTTTAAGTCCACCCCTTTGCTTCTGTGAGGATGTTCACCCACTATGCCTTTCAGGAATGTTCTGTAACTTCACCTTTCTGGTTTTGTGAACATGCTCACCCACTATGCCTTTCAAGAAGGTTCTGTAACTCAACCCTTCTACTTCAGTGAGCATACTTGCCTACCCTATAGATCCCTATGTAAGGAGGCTCTTATTTCTGGTTGAGCACTCAGACTTCAAAGTACAAACTCCTCTGAATCCACCAGCATAGTAAAGGTTTTTCTTCACCTCTTCAAGTGACCATCAGATTCTTGAGTCTTCAAATTGTAATAGCCATGACCCAGAGCTGTAACACTCAGCTGTGGCTCAGAGCTATGGCACTTGGCTGTTACACTGAGTAGTAACACTTGGCTATAGCACTGAGCTGTTCCACTTTGCCGCAATAATTAAACCATGGAAACACTGTAGCTAACTTCACTGTTAAGAGGTGTGATCCAATCAGAAAAAACAAGTCATTGGGAGTTATGATCTAGAAGGCCATATCTCCCTCCATCTCCTTCCTTCTCCCTCTCCTTCCTCACTTTTAAATGTGAGCACCTTTTCCTCCCCATGTTGATCTGCCATCCTGTTTACTCTTTGGAGCTGGCTGACCACTAAAATTTGAGCCAAAATAAACCTGAAGTTTATTTTGGAAACAGAACAGGACTTATTCATCCTAGTACGAACTGGGAAATACAGTGAGAACCTAATTTTCTTGGCTCAATCTTTCTTTTCATTCCATTGCTTTATAGAAGGAATTGTCTGTTTTAAAATAGTCCATCTCTATTATTCAGACTCTTCCATGAGAAGAACCTGATGTCTCTGGGAGACCTGAGATCAGATCTTATTTTTTAAAAGACTCCTTTCCTTTTGAGTTAGACCTGATTCTCTCATATTTTTGCCTTGATAACACAGAATCCCTGATTTTATATGATCTCCAAATCCCTTCCCTGTTATTCATGCCTGGTATTTCAACAAAATAACATAATAGCCTGGAGTCTGCATGGTTATCTCTAATTATTTCTTTAATGTTTTATGTTAAATATGAGATGGTAAGTGCTATGTCTAGGGAGGTAGAAATAGGCATAATAATAACAAAGGATAAAGACATGATTTTAACAAAACATAAAAATTTCCTTTGGAGAATAAGGAAGGAACCATACAGAGACTTAGCCCTGTAGTATAAAATTTGGGATTCCTGATTCTACCAGTTCTCTACTCTGGACCTACTGAATCAGAATCTTGATGTTGAAAGAAACAGAAATAGAGGGCACACATGTAGATTTTGAAAAATCTCCAGAATTATTGATTCTCAGTTCATCTTTTTCACATTTGTTTCCTCTTGATAGTTAAAGAGCAGAATATACTTCTATGGGACTGAATAGTAACCAATTAAACAAAATAATATTAAAATGCACTATCATAGCATAATTTTGCAGCCTGTTAAGAATAAAATATGTTCTGAAAGTCTTCTTGGTCTAGACCCTGTAGTAACCTGTGTCTTTCCCCGTGGTGTCACACGGAAATAGATCATTTCATAATGACATCATAATGGGTTCTGAGGTTCTAATAACAGGACTGTAGCCGTTGGTTTATCAGGAACGCTGAGCGTAGTAAACTCTTGAGGAAAGGAACTCAAGTGGATGAATTATATTGCTCCTCATGGAAAAGATGAAAAACTTCTTCCTGGCTATCCTGGCTACTGGTTATCTCTCATGTAAGTACTTACCAAAGAATCTTGGAGGAGAGAACATTTGATTTTCCAAGGGCAGTAGCTAGTCAGTAATAATTGCTATTGAGATGTAGGAATTCTTGAAACTCTTAGTATTTTCTCAGAGTTAAAGAATTTACTACCTCAACTAGAATAAGTATCAGTGGTTCACTTGGTTAATATATCAAGAACTCTGGCATAAACAATTGCAGACTTGAGAAATTTAAAAAATTATCTCTGAGAGTTATAATCAATATCTGGCAAATAATTTGGCCTTCTCTGTTAATTATCAATTTTCAGTCCACTCCCTCTTCCTCACCCCCCTTACTTTTCCACACATTGATATTGTGTGTGTGTGTACACAAATGCATTCTACACAAAGCAGTGTCAGTTTTAGCCATTGCTTACTACTAGAGTATCAGTAGGTGTCATGAAACCTTAAGAGAAGGCTCAGCTCTTCCTAACTCACTCCAGCAAAGTGACACCAACAACTGAAGTTCATGATGTAAAACTGAATCCACTAGGTAAACGGTGCAGGTAGATACAAATGCAAAGAGAAGGTCTGGTGCAGTGGCTAAATGAAGTCAAGTGAAATATAAAATATGAGAGTAAGGAGAACTCTGAATAGCTTGAGTAAGCAAATGTTAATGCAGTGTTGTAAACATAAAAGGCTTCCTTAAAAGGGAATGGAATTAATATGGGAAAATGAGAAAATGGAAACAAAGTCTTTGTAAATAGCAAAGGATGGGGGAGTTGAAAGGAGGGCAGAGGAAGGGGGAAAAATAAGAACCAAGAGAGATTATGTAAAGGTGCAAATTTCCAATGATGAATGTCATTGTATTGTATACCTAAAACGTACCAATTAAAAAAAAGAAAGGGCTTCCTTAAAAACAAGTATAATTTAGAAAAAAAAAAAAAAAAAAAAAGGTCCATTCAAAGCAGAAAATAACCAGAAAGGAAGGCAGGTATTGAAGATTTCTATTAGTAGGCAGCTAGGATGACTATGAAAATCTAGGCCTTTCTCTAAAATAGGTCTATACAATGCCTGAGTAGTCCACCAGTGAATAATATTGCTGACTTCTGGAGGATGAAGCTTGAATTTAATTGCTTCCTGTCCAAGTGCAGCATTAAACCTAGAACGGGCTAATTTTGAGTTGCCTGAGGGGGTATTAGATTCCCAGGCATGAGGAGAAGAAGGAAACAATGTTTGAGTGTTAGACCCAGCGAGAGAGAACCAACCAGAGACCGATATTAAATCCACACAGGAGTTTATTACCAGCCGGGACCTGAGCCGAGCATCGGACTCGAGCCTCGACTGGGGGTTGACAAACATGTTCTATACACCTTTGAGGCCAACAGTTTCTAGGCGACCCCTATGGGATAGAACTAGTAAAGCAAGCAAAAGGTACCGAAGCGGAACGTCCTGCTGTTAGAACATTTGTAAAACAATAGTTGATTAATTGTTATTTCTAAAGCGACCTTTTAAGGGGAGGAGGTTTCTAAGCTTCCTCCTTCTGAGTTCATCTAAAGGACAGGGAGGTGGGTCGAGCAGCAATATGGAGTCTGTCTTCCTAACTAGGGTACTTCATTGAGAATCAAACATGGCTAGATAAACCTCCTATGAATAAGGCAATCATTTTTCTACAAATTTCACAGTTACTGATTTGTATGTGACCACTTAATGGGAAAATGAGATGGTCATATTTCAATAATGCATTATTTTAATTGATCCTTTGAATTTTTTTAAATTTCAGATGTTTTGGGTAAGCAAGTATTTAAGGTAAGTTTGCCATTTCCTGTGTAAGAATAGTTTTTCCAATCTTAGATTTGTAGAATTTCTATTAGTTTGAAACATATGAAGCCATTACAAAACTCCCAATATCTGGCCATTTTCAATCTACACAGATTTAGATTTAGTTCAATCTAAATAGTGCTGTCAAAATCCATTTGAGGTAAAACCTAGACTCATTTCAGTCTATTCTGGTCTCTCATGCCTTTGTATACCACTGGCAATTAAAGCTCCTAATTTTTTTTTTTCTCCCTCCAATTTAATTATTTTCACCCAGGTTCAAGATCTAAACTTTTGCCCATGTTGTTGCACTAGCCATCTGATGTTCTTCTTGCATTTAATTTGATCCAGGAGTTGGCAAACTAGGGCCATGTATTTTAGAAAAACAGAATTTTTTGGAATGTAGGCAGGCCCCTTTGTTTATATTTTATCTTTGGTTGCTTTTAGACTAGAACAACATAGTTGATTAGTTGTAACAGAGGTCAAAAGGTCAACAAATCATAAAATATTTATTAACTTGATTTTAGGAGGAAAAGCTTTCTGACCTCTCTTCTAATCTTGAGAATGGACTTTCAGAAACGTAAATCTGAATGAGACTTCTTCCTATTTAAAATAACGACTCCTAGTGTTCTCAAGATAAAATTTCTGCATGCTTAAAAATCACCTTTGTCCAATCTCTTTTTTACATTGTTTTTTAAAAATTTTATTAGACTGTGTTCAAAGTACATGAAATTTATACTGATCTTACAGAATAGGTACATGTGCATAATCCATCTTGATTCCTTTTTATTCCCTTTTCCCTCCCCACCCACCTCCCTCTCTCAGATTTTAAATCCTTCTTCCCCATTTTCCTTATTATTCTTTTTGTTGTTATTTTGGGGGATCATTTCTATAATTTGTTGTTCAGCCTCTTGCTCCCTCAGAGAATTCTTTTTTCATCCTAGATTCTCATTAACTTAAACTATTTTTATGTCTATTACTTCAGTCTTGTGTTTTTTGTGTTAATAATTTCCTCTAATTAAGTATTTCTCCCATATTTATATCCAATGTTAAAAGTCATTTGCATGTTTTAGATTCCACTGAAGCATAAATTCTTTGCCCTCCTAAACATACCAGTCAGACTTAACCACTGAAAGAGGAGATTAAGAGACATAAACTGTTTCTCAAAGATTGACTTGAATTATTTGTAATAGTATTAATGATTATGTTACTTCATATGCCAATAAATCTCTTTTATTTCAATAAGCACAGCTTTTCTTTAACGTTGCTTTCCTTTAATGTTTTAGGAAAATATAGCTTCAAATCTGTTGTTGATATTCATATTTACTATAAATCTAAGGTTGTTAGTCAAGTTTAAAAGATGAGCCAGTTAAAGAAAAAATATTTTTAAAGAAAAATAGCAGAGGAACTTAGAAGCATTTGTGAACCAAGTGATTGAAGTTTGGGGGACGTTGCTGTAAGAGGGGCATTAAAATCTTATGTAAAGGAGAGTAATCTGATATTCTGTGTAAATGGATACATTATGATGGGAACCACTGGAGTATGAAAATGTAGCAGTGCATTCTAAACTGCTTATTACTTATTAATACTCATGAACTTCCCAAGCCACCTCCTACCCATAGACAAATTATTCTCATGCTGAAGATTTCTAAATCCTGTTTAGTCCAACTTGTAATACAGAGGAAAACAAACACCTAAAATGTACCAATGAAAGGATATACAAAAAAAAAAAACTACAGTGGGAAGATAATTAGGAAAATTTGATGGCTCCTTCTCTTACTGTTCCAGAACCCTAATCCCCAAAAGACTAAACTACCGAAGATACCAGAGTAAGACTGCACTGTGTCCTGTTCCAGACAGAGGGTGTGTTGGGCGAGGGGGAAATCTTTGAAGAATTAAAATGCTTTCAGAAGCACCTGAACGATGCTTCCGGTCACTCCCACATGGGGTTATAGTTATTTTTATTACTTCTTAGTAATATTTTCCTTCTCTTCTCACCAGTTGCTGACACATTACACAGCCAAGAATCTGGACTCTATAGCCTCAATTTCCCTAAAAGACAGTAACACTAAAGGCCCTGGCAGCTAAATTTATGATAATATAGTTTTGGGGTTTTATATTTATGATAATTTATCATAGTGTGATCTTCTTTTTGTACAAAAGAAAACAACCAACCACTTATATTAAAAGCACTAAAAGATCACTGCAGTATAGAGAGTATGACCTGTGAGTTTTCTTTTAGACTATTTCATGCCACCATTATGAAGAAGAAAATGAACAGCAGCAACACATATGCTCCATACGAGTCAGCCCATTGTGCGCCTCTAACAACGTCACATACTCTAATTCCTGCGTGTACTGCTTCGCCAATATGTGAGTGAGAACATAAAACCAAACCCAGACCCCTCTTTTGAAAATCTAACGCGTAGATGACTGATAACAGCTGATATTTACGATTTTGTGAATCTGTAAACTAAAAAATGATGTAATATGAAGCTGAGCTTGAGGCAAATGAGGGTGACAGAGAGTAAACAAATAGCAGTGTCCCATCCCCAACTGAGAAGAGCGGCCTGCCTTCTTTGCCTTTGAACATGAGTTTCAATATGAGATTCTGGATGGAAAAAAAAATTTTGTTTCTAAAATCTTTGAAAATCATAGTTGTAAGAAACATTACCCTTCACAAGATTTCACTAAAACCACAAGTCTTAGCACTCAAGATCAGAAGAACCTGGGTTAAATCTTCCCTGTGCAGTTAAGTGATATTGGAAAAATATTATAGCCCCTCCACCAGGGATCAAACTCAAGACCTTGCACTTGTGAGGCAGGCACAGCACCACTAAATCCCCAGCCCTTGAAATTGTTAACTGCAAATCCAAGGCTGTATTTCTGCTTCACTCACCAAATATGCTGCAGCCACAGTGACTCTTCTTTCTTGATATTTTCAAACATATGAAACTCTTTCCTGCTTTGGAAAATTTGGGCAAGCTGCCTTCCCATACAACAATGTTTTCCTCCTGCTGTTCACAAGGCCAGTGCATTTTCTGTCCTTTAAGTTTCAGCCTAAATATACAGTACCTGCCCATAAGTCGTCTTCCTTGACAATCCTATCTACAATAAACTGATCGCTGGTGTTTTCCACATTCATTCCCTTCTCTTCTATTCTTAATATTTATCATAATTCCAAATATTTTAATCTTCTATATGTTTATTTTTGTCCTTTTACCACATTTAAGCTCATGAAGTCACAAGGTAGGTATGTGCTGTGTTCTCAGAATTTACCACAATGTCACTATTCAATATGCCCCTGGGAAGTGTTAAGTAAATACATCAGGTGGTTCTCAGGAAGAGTGAATGTACTAATGGATATAAAATAAATTTATAAAATTAAAGCTCACTTTATAGATAATTTAAAATTTTTTATCACTTGTTCTTTTGGCTCAGAATGACGTGATTAAGAGGGAAGACTAAATCTTATAGATAGGGATTGGAATCTCAGCTTCTCTGTTAAATCACATGATTTAAGACAGATGGCTTAAGCTCTGGAATTACCTTAGAGGTCACCTATGTGGATTTTAAAAAATAATACATAAAGAAGGCTTAGCATAGTGCCTGTCACATAGCAGGCCCTTAGTAAATAATAGCAAGAGTGGCCTTGTGTTGCTACCAAGTGGAGAACCAATCATGCCCACTTTCCTGGGACTGAGGGTTTTCCTGGGATATGGGACTTTGAGTACTAAAATAGAGCAGTTACAGACAAATCAGAATGGTTGGTCACCCTACCATCAACATACCTTCATATTCACTACCCTCTAGTACAGTGCATTCCGTGATTACTCTTTCACTAAGATCAGATAACCTACACCATAATTACCCTCAGCCAGTACATCAGTATCTTTCAGATCATCCAAGACCTTCATCTCATAGGCCTCCAAATGACCTCCATTGTGGTCATAATTCAGTGGTTCACACAGATGGATTCCCTGGGAGGCAGAGAAACTGTGCTAGAGAAGGATTCCTACTCCTCCCAAGTTTAGGATAGCTCTCCGCTTTGATCTTTGCTTCAGGTCTACTATCTACCCCTCCACTGAGATCTCAAAGTATTTTGAGTTATGATAAATATTAAGAAAGAGAAAGGGATTTATGTGGAAATAAAAACAACCTCTTAGTGTTAAAAATTAATCTTTAAGATTTTAATTTCAATAGAAGGGAAAATAATAAATTTATTCCTTTGAAGTGCACATCTAGTGGTCTTTAATATATTTGCAGAGTTTTACAATTTTCACTACTATGAAGTTCATATACAAAGTTTTTTGTAAGCACATATTGTTTTTTCATGACTGTAAACCTATGAGTGAATCACTGGGATTTATGGTAAGTCTATGTTAAACATTTTGAGGAACTGCCAAACTGGTTTCCAGACCACTTTCAAACCTTTGTAATGACACTAGCAATATCTGAGGGTTTCAACTCCACCACATCCTCACCAATACATGTTATTATCCATCTTTTTTATGATATCCATCTTCTTGATGATAACCTTCTTAATGGGTATGAAGAGGTATCTCCCTAAGTATGAAGTGTATTTCCCTAATTACTAATAATGTTAGATATGGTTTAATGGGCCTACTATCAAATGCTTATTCAGATTCTTTGCTCATTTCTAATCAGATTGTCCTTTACTGTTGTGTTGTAAGAGTTCTTTATGTATTCTGAATACAAGTTCCACATTAAATGTTTATTTCCAATTATTTTCCCCATTACGTGGGCTATCTTTTCATTTTAATAATGATGTCTTCTGAAATACAGTCAATTTTATTTTGGTGAAGTCCAGTTTATCTATTACTGCTTGTGCTTTTGGTGTCACAGCTAAGAAACCATTGCTTAACCCAGTTATGAAAATCTACTGATGTCTTCTTCTGAGTTTACAGTTTTAGATCTTACATTTAGGTTTTGTGTCCATCTTCAGATTGTTTTGTTATTGTTGTTATTGATGTTATTTTGGGGACTTTGGGGGATGGGTTTTTGTTTCTTGTTTGTTTTACCTATGGCATGAGGTGGGGGTCACAATTTCATTATTTTGTGTGTAGCTATTCTAGCAACATGTGAAAAGAAATACACTTTCCCTGTTGAATTGGTTTAGCACCTTTTTTGGAAATCAATTTGGTTCATTTCTGGACTTTCAGTTCAATGAATAAATATGTTTCTTTTTGCATTAATACCACAATATCTTGATTACTGTAGGTTTTTACTGTTAGATTTAGAAATCGGGAGGTACAAGTTCTTCAATTTTGCTCTTTTTCAGTTTATTTGGCTATTTTGGATTCCTTATTAAAGGTCTTATCCAAGAATAGTGTACAAATCTATTCAGCATAATCATTCTAGGAATAAAATACTAGGAAAAAATTAAATATTCTAATATGATTTATAGTATACTATCTGCAATTAATACTTCCTATGAAACAGTAAATGCAGTTGTGTTACTGTGTATAGAATTGATTTCACTGGCAAGAAATCCTGTATTTCCCAAGATTTCTATTTTCCCAAGAGTTCTTACCATCTTCAAAGACAACTGATAGAAGTGCATATTTCTCAAATAAAAGCTGCTCTTTCCCGTCGTGGAGCTGCCACTTAACTATCCTTGTCGATGGCACCCCTGATGTTTAGTACACTTATGCACCAGTGCCTGTCTTCTTTTGATCTCAAGCCAGTGGACAGATCCCTTCTGATTCTCATGCCTACCATTTTGGAAGGAGTTCATACATAAGAATTATGTGACTCCCCAACTGTCACTCTTACCTCCTTCAGCCCACGTTTACTTTCTTCTCAGGTTATCAAGGCATTCCCAAACTGGGAGGTGGGTCATTTTCATCATAAAGTGAAGGGGTCAAGTATGCCCTTACCCTAGCTGCAGTAACTCCCACCATCATTCAAGTACCAGTTTAGGTTCTACCTGGTACTTTGTTTCTGCATCTTGGCACAGTCAAGGTCAATACACCTAAGCACAGCAAAGATCTCTGATTCTATGTCTGCCATAAGGCTCATCCTTTTTTAGCCAAATATTATATTTACTTTTTGTTGTGCGAAGGATCAGACCAGGGTCTTGCACATTCTAGGCAAGTGCTCTACCACTGAGCTCCATCTTCAGCCCTGTGTACACTTTTTTAAAAATCCCACTAGACATCACATATCAAATTTTCTAATTATAATCATGATATAATATTAAGTTATAAGGGAAGATATTACATAATACATATAGTATGAGCAGATTTTAACAAAATATATTTGTAATATATTAATAAAAAATAAAATTAAAATGAATACATGATTAGAAACATTTTTGAAACAAATACATCTGATTTTTGAATAACATTTATTATATTCATTGTGCTTGGTGCTACATAGGAATAACCTCATTCAATATTCAAAAAAATGTTACAAAGTAAGTATTGGTACCACTTCCCATGTTATAGATGGTGAAACTGAACCTTAGAGAGATTTAGGAATTTATCCAACTATCATAACTCATAAGGGGAGAAACAAAGAAACAAATCTGGAAATTTGACTCCCAGAACCTATTATCATAGCTCATGGTTAGAATTTTGTATTTGTAAAGAATTTTAGGATTTTTCAAACACAGGTTATTGGGCTGGGGCTGTAGCTCAGTAGTAGAGTGCTTTCTTGACTTGTGAAGTCCAGGATTTGATCCTCAGAGCTGCATTTTTATCTTGTATTTTGTTTACAAATCAAGGGCTTCCTTTCCTTAAAATCTCTATTATGATACAACTAGGCAAAGAGGAAGACTGTTTAATTAATACCTAGTAAGTTCCAAACACTGTGGTAGGTGCAGGGAAAGCAAAAACAAAACAAACAAAAAGACAAACAGCAAAAGTAAACAAAAAGAACAAAATACTATTACTTTCAGACTATTATTTCTAATTATATGTGATTATAACCCTGCTATTATTAGAAAGTACTTTCCCAAATAGGCCCCTTATGAGACCCACACCGATACTGTATGGTTAGGCAGGGAAAAGATATTCCCTTTTATACATAAAAAAGAGAAAAACTCCAAAATACTTATCTTGCTCAATCTCAAATAGGAAGTATTAACAGAAAATTAACAATTTTTTTTAAATTTTACAATAGCTCCTAGATGGCTATCCTTAATTTTTTAATGGATCACTTTCATATTAAATATATTAACAAAGTCCACTGACCATAATTTAGTATAAAATGCAGTAAATGGCTTGCTGTTGTTATGTTTCTGCTGATGAAGGCAAATATTTTTCACTCCTGTTTTCCGTACTCCTGTGTTTATCTTGTTCTTGGCCAGCAGGGCCATTGCAGCCCATAAAGCAACTCTGAAGTGAGCCTCAAAACAGTCTATCTCAGTAACTACCCCAAATTATGAGTCTTACAGACACAGTAAAACGATTTCTCCAAGTGTCTCAGCAAGCCATTAATTTACCCTCCCTCTACTTAACATGTAGGGTTACACATTTACTAAACACTCCAATAGTTTTTCACCATGATTACAAAGCAATGGGGCCTCCCCAGTGAAAGGGTGTGGTGAGCTGAGAGGAAAATCTTTACAGCTATGGGCTGTTTATAAGTCAGGAGTTTACAAATTAAGGGCTCCATTCCCTTAAAATCTCTATTATAATGCATATAGACTAAGAGGAAGAAAGGTTATATTTCATACAAATGATCTCTAACTATTTATATCAATTCTTTTAGAGCATTGAATCATACTCTTACAATTCAACATGGAGGAATGTGCAGCAAACCCCCCAAATCTTGAATATTTCTTCATTTATCACGAGTGAGACCATTTGAACTAAGCATCGTCTTTCCTTCATAAAGCAGAATTTATTGTATTGTCTTATTTTTTCTAATCAATAAATATTACCCTATGGAAATCTCCTTTGACTTGGGATGTTTAATGACATGTATGAGATCTGTGTTTGATTGTAGACATACAAAGCTGAATAGAAAGTAACTGTTTAATTTATCAAATCACAGTTTAATAGGCTAATTAAATAATGCAGTCAATGATTCAATAAAGTTTAAGTTACTATGAGAGTCAAAGATATGGCTAGACCCTTGGCGTTCAGTAGTAACCAAAACAGATTTTTGTACTTGTGCAGTTTCTAATCGAACAAAGAAGCAAGAAAACGCACAATTATTAAACAATGTAAAATATGAGGAAGAGAAAAACAACCCATGATAACCCAGGAGTTGACCTTGGCCTTGGCATAGTTTGGCCTGTACTTACATCTGGGCTTTGATAGTCTCCTGTTTAAGATTAACAATTTCATAAAATGTTTACAGCTGCAAAAGCCACTCTATGACTATGATGAATCAAAACACAAATACTACACCATGGTCACACCTGAACATAGGCAAAAATGAACATTATCCAAGCCACCAAATACCAGACATCCCTTTATCTAGAGTAAAATAAATGTTTGCTGCTTCTTCCCCAATTAAAATCCTTCCTTCTAAATGAGGCCTTTAAAGATGCCAGTCATAAGATTATTCCCACTTGTTTGGAACATCCATACAAAGCAAAGCCTCTCTTCCTTAACCTCTTCTCAAAATTGACCTAATGATCCCAATCCTACAAAAAATACTTTCTAATACTTTCTTATCAACATGCCCTATGGTTCCCAGGGTATGTATTCTCTCAGGTTACAATGAATATAAACTCAACATGTTCAACTATTTGTGTACACCTGGAGGGCTTTAAATGGAGGATGTGACAAATGCAGTCCTTGTTAGCAGCAATATACCATCCTGTTTCTTGCTTTATTTTTACTTACTCCTCCCCCATGTCCACAACAGATGTCAGTAATCAAAGGCAGCACACTGCACTGAGTTGGATGTGGCCTCAAAATCTTTCTCAACATAGCAATTGAGGCATGGTTTGCCATCAGATTTGACATGAAAGATAAAATCTCTTTGCCAATCCAGCACCACCTTTTTCTTTTCAAGACTAAGGAAGCTTCGTGCTTCTTGAGCTGAAGCCTCCAACTTCCCTATGGCTATAGCCACACTGTGGAACTGACTGCCCTCCAAGTCCTTCTAAAAGGAGATCCTTTCAGGAATCTGAGCTCTGCCCCTGAGACCGTGGCCTGCAGCAACAGGTCTCTAAAGGCTGCCAGGCATTTACTGTCATTGCTGTGAGTAAATTACACCCTCTAGTGGGAAACCTCATGTACTACCCTATACTGAAAGAGGAAGAAAAATGCCATGTGTCCATCATCTCCAGGACTGATAAAACTGCCCACTTTAACAGGCAAAGTGTAATACTCAAATGTGTAAAACTCAAAGTTGTTTTAAATGTTTGAATTTTACATTCAAAGTGACTGAAGGAGAAAAGAAGGAACAAGAGAGGTAAAGGAATTTGATTTCAAATATGGCTGTGTCAAAAGTCTCCAAAACTTTTACCAGAAATCTCCTTTTCCATCTCTTGGATCCATACATTCTTAATTTCATCTTTATTCTCATAGAGGCTTTACCCCCGCCCCATCCCATTCCCATCCCCAGTGATGGATACTGGCAGATCTAGTATTGACTAGTTCAACAGTAGAGAAATTTCCAAGACTCTAACAAAGGCTTGAGTCTTGTTATTTTAGTTGGTATAGGAGCCTTACTCCTGAACCAGTTATTAGAGTTGCAAGCATGCTTAGCTTTCATTGAAATTGTCTAAATTATAAGGCCCCATAAGATCCAGGAGTGGGTCAGCCCTATCCTATGAACTAGAAAAAGATAAAGAATTGTTCCCCAAAAGAACACTAAAGTGCTACTTCCAGAGTCAAAATGAATGCAGGTCAAGAAAACAAAGAATATAGTATTTTGCATTATCTAGATACAGCCTCTTCCTTATCAAGAGTCTATGGATTATCCTCAAACCTGCCTCTTCCCTATTTGTCTTCCCTTACTACAGTTAATAATTTTGTCTATATTTATGATAAAAAGTTATGATGTTCTCAGAAGCTAAAACACTTTATATCTTAGTAAAAAGTATGGAAATGCCATCCAGACATCTGAGCTTTCTTGACTCTCATTCCCAAACAAAAGGACTTGACCTTACATTCCATAACCATGGAAAGTTTAATGTCCTCCCAATTCCAGAAAGACCCAAGCATTTATGATCTCTTGGTTACTTGTTCTATATCCCTAATTTTGCAGAGTTCTTCATTAGTCCTTCTTTTTACCTCTGATACTGCTGCCTTACTAACTCGGGTACATGTTAAACTCTCCACCTTCCTTCCTGAGGCACATTCAAGGTTATTTGAGGTAACAGATGTTTTCTAAAGGTTTGGTGTAATGGAGGAGGATAATAGCTAGCAAAGAAGAAGAAATGTGTCAAGATTCTTTGATTTTAAAGTGATAAAAATCAAAATGAAACTTTGGCCAAATAAAAAATGTGTGGGCACAGGCAATAAAGAGGATCAGAGTGAGTCTTAACTTAGGTATGGCTGTATCAGAGACTCAGCATTGTCAGGAGTCTAACTTTCCATCTCTGTTCACTGCTTGTTTATCAATTTCATCAAATTTTGACTTGATCATGTCCCATGGAGATTCGACACATGATGAGAAAAATGGCAGCTAACACCTAATTCATGTAGTCTTAGGACTCACAGTCCAAGGGAAAAGGGCTAAGTGTAAGACAAAGAGAATCTTAGAGATCAGCCAAACATCCTTCCAATCAATGTGCAACTATAGTAAAAAATCTTTTTTGAGATAAATTTGACAGCTAAGATTTTTGTAATATGCTTTCTATATCCTTTTAAATTCTGTAAAATCTGTGGTAATGTCCTCTAAGAAAGGAGTATGGGAAATGGGAGGGGTAGGGGAAAGGAAAGAAGGGAAAAGGAAAAATATGAGAAAAGGATAAAAATGGAAACAAAGTCTGTAAATAGGGTAGGGTAGAGGGGGTGAAGGGAGGACAGGGGAATAGGGGAAAAAATAAGAACCAAGATACATCATGTAAAGGTACAAGATCCCAATGATGAATGTAACTGTATTTTATACTTAAAAAGTACCAATAAACTTAATGAAAAAAAAAAGAAAAGAATAAAGGAATAAGGGACACTCTATAAACTGTTTTTATCCTTTTTATTGCAATGTGACCGTTATCTCCTATGTTCTGTCAAATTGTCATATGGATTCCATGAACACCAACTGTATCTGTAGCTATTTAAAACTAGGTATTTTACCCTATTTTGTTACATGTAAGGAAAGGAAATGGGATTTCAGTCCAGCAGTGACTTTGTGCGGGTCAATTATCCTCTCTGAAGTAATTACCTATCCGTTCAAAAAAGAAAAAAACTGATTAAACTGACCCCTGCCCTTGTTGAAAGTTTTCAGGGAGACACTGATGTGAAAGTCCTTTGAACTGTAAAACACTATTAATCACATGCAGAGAAAATGTCCTGAAATCACAGCAGTGATAATTTAACATTAACATCTCTAAGTGGAGCCCTCCTCCCAAAAGAAAAAAAAAAGTGTTTGCTTTAGTTGAATGAACTCTGGAAAACATTTTTATTGAAACACATTTGCTCTACAAATGACAAAGATCCCAAGGTTTACCCAAGAGCACAGAGTATCCGCCTGGCTGAAGAGCAAATCACTAGCTCTGGCGCATCAGTATTCGGGTGCTTCCGCCCTGATGCACTGGTAAAAATGGGGAAAAGAGTCAGTTGCAGGCCGGCTGAAGTGCCACACTTAACATGGATATCACGCCCTGACTCAGACATCCACACCCAATATGGAGATAAGGTGCAGGCATGGGAGCAGCCCCGGATGACAACACTCTGTACTGCCGGAGCGGCGGCGGAAGCGGAAGTGCCTCGGCGGTGGGGGCCTCGGGAAGTGTTTGTGCTGTTTCTCCCTCCTTCTCAACCACAATAACAGACTGAGGGCCGGCGTAGGTGAGGCGGCGGATAAGGGGAAGGGGACCCGGACGCGGGGGACAGAAAGACGGGGGTGTGAGGCTGCTGCCTGATGGGGGAGACCCGGACTCCCAACTGTCTGGGCTGTGGATCTATTGCCCCCTCAGGGCCTAGATCTGCGGGGAGACCTGGGGGGAAAGTGCAGCTCCTGACTTTCTAGGCCTTGCTTTGGGTTTGCTCCTGGCCCAGGAGCCCAGCATGCTGAGCCCTCTCGGAGCCTCGGTTTGCTCCTGAGGACGGGAGGTTCACTTTTGCCCCTCCCCCTCCCGGGCTTCCTAATGCCACGATTTTAACGTTAAGTTGGTGTTTAGGCCGGTAAATGGATTAAGGCATTTGTTCAGCTGTACTGGAGGGATACCCTGAGCAGAATGCAATGAATACATCTTTGAAAGAAGCTGCTGCCCTTGAGGATCAGGAGTTTGAGTTCTAGTTTTACTCCGTTCTCCGACTCACTACGTGACCTTGTCCAGATCCATTATCCTCTCTGTGCCACAATTTGCTTATCTGTAAATTGCACGTGTTGGGTGTCTCCGACGCCACTGCCAGCTCTGGAAATACATATTCTCAGTTCCTCTTTCATGGAGACTTAGCGATAGACCTGAAAAGCATGTCCTTCCTGCTCCCTGCTTAGCCAGGAATTAACTGGCTGATGAGATATCCACAGTGTTTCTTTCCAGATATGAAGCAGGCCAGAGGTATCCAGTCATTGAAGGGCATTCCTGGGCGTTGAGAAGCTCTGTCCAGGATACAATAAATCTAAACAGTGAAATAATTGTGGTGTGAAAAATAGGAACCTTGGGTTTTGTCCTGAAAGTTGCCATTTGCTTGATGATTAACTTTGGACAAATTGTTTCCTTTTACTGGATTTGACGTGTCTTATTTTGTCAAAGGAGGGTGTTGGATTGGTCCCTTGTTCTTAATCTTTCTTATTCTCAGCAGCACAACTAAAGG